TCTTATTTCACTAAATTATAATTGAGCAATTTAAAAAAAAAAAAATGTATTATTACTTTTTTCTAGTTATTTGACTGACTTTTCTTTGATGGAAGGGGATGAATACATCTGGTGGCCAGCAGGTGGCAGCAGCGAGCTTTACGCTGAAAGTCGAAGCAGCGCAGAAGAAAGCCCCGCCGCTGCCCCTCCTCTGGCAGTGCATGATGGTCGGTGTACCGGTGCTACCTGCTGGTTTGTGTCCTGTTGTCTTCCTCCTGGTCCCTCCAGCGTTCCTGTGATGGTGAAGAGGAGAAACACCGGCCGCCGTGCTTCACACGACAGGTACGGCGGCGGCTTGAAGTCCGGAGGTCGCTTAGCCTTCCGGAGTTTGTGTCCTGTTTGAGCTGTTGTGGAGCTAGCCTGCTAGCGTTAGCCAGTCTACGTGTAACCGTCGCTGACAACACTAGCTGTAGCATTAGCTGTCGGCTCGGGCCCTTGATAGTCTGACATACAAAGTGCAACAAATTGTCTTGTGACGCTAATTAACGTCACCGTCAGCTCGACGGCTGTAAAGCCAGAAACCACCGGAGCTGAGCTAAAGCTAGCGGGCTAGCCTCTGTCACAGCTGACTGTCCTGGTGGGAGGCTGAGCCATTATCTGACAGCTCAAGTAAGCAAGTAACATTTTAGAAAGTCAGCGTTTAACCTGTAACGTGTGAATATTGCTGCCAGCTTACTTCAGGACGTTGGGGGTTATATAGCATGTTTTAACTCTTAGGTTTGGCTTTTGTAGTGTCTGCTTTAGTTTGTTAATGGACTCAGTTTGAGGTGTTCACATCCATGTTTATGTCATATCACAGCTGAGACTTTTTCTTTAGCTGCTGATTTGCAGACAGCGTTCATGTCAGACGTTAAGGGTTAAATCAGGGGGGAAAAAACTGCTGTTATTCAAAGTGATAAGTCGACAGTATAGTGGATGTAGAGCTGTGTTGTTATTTCACACCAGTTAATGATTAAATAACTCTGCAAGTGGACAATTACGCTGAAATCACATTGGCAAGTCATAAACATGGACCGGAGTCCACCTTTAAGATGG